ACTGCTGCCCCTGTCGGGGCCCTCGCCATCGGTGCCGGAGATGATGCTCGCACCCTCGCCGTCAGGTATGGGACAGACGGGAAGAGGCGCCGGGAGCTTCGTGATGGGGTTGAGCTGGCCAGCGAAAGCACATGGTCCGATTGGCCAATCAAGGGCCCCCGGACTGCCAAGTGGGTAGGCCAGTACGTTGTCACCAACGGCGGTAGCCCCATCAGCATGCACAACGCCTGGAAGGTTAACAGCAAGCTCCAGCCTTCGGACAACGGCGTCCTCGAGCACGAGAGCATCTGCAAAGCCTTGGAGTTGGCGATTGAGTACGACCAGCTCAACATCGGGGAGCTTGCCGCTATGGAGTTGCTTTGCCGCCGCTTGCAGATGATCCAATATCGGTGGAAGGACCGGGTGCTTGGATCTTACTCGAGTGGGACGGTTGACGACGAGTCCCACTTCTTCCTCGGCGTCGACCCCACCCGAGGCAACCTTTGCATCTGCCCTGCGCTTAATACCTGGCTGGGAGAGGAGCTTCATAAGGAGGCCCAGGCGAACAAGGAGCAGCGAAAGGCCCGGGAGGAACGTGCCCTCCTCCGGGCCAACAAGCCAAAGTAGCTGCCACTGCGGTGGCTTCACAACGCGCGGTGGCCACGTCGACCCGGGCCACCTCGCGTAGTTCTCGAGGGTCGTTTACTTTCCTGCCAGGGCTCATCGGATCGAAGCTCCACGGCGCGCCCTTGCCGTTGTGCTTCATTTTAAAAAACGTCGGGCCCGCCTCTTTTGGTTCTTGCCCGTCCAGTTCGGGCTCAGTTTTGTGGTTGGTTGAGATGCCGGCTCCGGACAGGCAGCGTGATCTTCTCCCGTTGCGGCTGCCCACGGTGGAGAATGGCATCCAGGACGGGAACCTCAGCAGGGGGACCCGCCAACGAATTCTCCGGAGGCTTGCTTCTGATGCTTGGTGTCGCGAGGGGGTCCAGACCTTGAATCACCTTTATGGTCAAGACGAGGTTCGGAGTTTTGCCCCAGTGGGACCTCAGGCTTCTTCTTTGGATGGCATGGCGCACAAGTACAGACGCGTCGGCCCTCCTCCGCAGTCTCGTCCCGAAGAAGCCCTTCAGGCGCTTCTCGGCTCGATGTCTGTCTACTCTTTGGACAACATCGAGTGCAATGTTGCCAGTTTCGACGAGGCGCTCGTCTCGTGGCCGGAGCCGGGGAGCCGTCCGGTTCGGATTGCTGATCACCTGGCTTCGGATTCAGGAAACCTGTTGTCACTGGCGGGCGCATCTGAGCTACTTGCCGAGGCTGATGCTCTGAGTGGTTGCGACCCTGTGAAGCCTTATATCGATCCTGTGCTTTTGCATTCGCCTGTACATATGGGTAGATTTTGCGGCCGCCTTTTCAAATCCCGAATGCTCCAGTTTGTCCCAGGAAAGTTTGAACATACTGTAGGTGTTTTCTTCGTTCGCAAAAAGAGTGGCAAGCTCCGGCTGATCTTGGACACCCGGAAGGCCAACAACTTCTTTTCCCAGCCCCGCTCTTCCCGTCTCCCTACTCCTTCAGCTTGGTGCAGCATCGAGGTTGCCGAGGGGGACGTTCTTTACACCGCGGCGGGTGACGTTGCCGATGCCTTCCATAGGATGGAGCTGCCCAGTCACCTCCGTCGGTTTTTCAGGCTGCCGGCTCTCAAGTGCCGTTTTCTTGATAAGAGCATGTGGCCGACAGGCTGTGGCCCTGAAGACTTCGTCACACCCGAGTATTGCACGCTGCCTATGGGTTGGAATTGGTCCCTGTACTTCTGTCAGTGTCTTCTCGAATCCGCGGCGTCCCAGGCCGGACCGACCGCATTGAGGATCGGACTTGGACCGGGCAGGTGAGGGCCGGGCGGACCATTCATGCTCAGTATGTGGACAATTTCTTCGTCAGTGGCATTGACTCGGGGGTTGTGCAACAATCTTTTGATCGGATGAAATGCATCTTGGAGGACTGGGGCTTTAGCATCCACGAGGTTACCGAGGCCCAGCCTGTTGTCCACGGCCTGGGCTTGGTGATTGACGGCGAGTCTCGAAGCGTTTCTTTGACCCCGGCCAGGATCTGGAAACTACGATTGGCTGCACTGGCGCTGTCGCGCAGGCGGGTGCCCCCTCCTGCCAAAGTCATTGAGAAGGTCGTTGGTCACTTCACTTTTGCAATGATGGTCAGAAGGGAGTGCCTTTCGGTGTTCAGCGCAGTGTACAAGTACATCCGGTTCAAGGGCCATTCCGATCCTTCATGCAGGCCTCAGCAAGCTCACGGCCTTTTGTGGCGTGCCGCTCAGCAAGAACTGGTTCAGGCCTCGTCCATCCTTCCATTGATGTGCACTTCACTTGATCTACCGTGGAGTCCTGTTGTGACTGCAACTGATGCCAGCGAGATAGGTTATGGAGTTTGTCAACGGCACCTCGGCTGTGATCAAGTTGCACAGGTTGGGCGATCGTGTGAGCGGTGGCGCTACGCCGTTGAAGGGGCCATAAAAGCTCGTTCGAATGCCCTGGGTACAGGCGACGACCATGCCGACGATCAAGCACAATATGAGTGCGCCCGCATCCGGGACTCTGAGTTCAAAGAGGTCGGTGCCTCTGTCCTTGATCCTTCTGCTTGGCACGTTGTCTTTAGTGGGCGATGGCAGTTTCACGAGAATATCCTTCGAACGGAAGGTCGTGCTATGCTCTCTGGGGCTCGGCACCTTCTCCGCTCTCAAAGGCATGCTGGGCGGCATCATCTACTGTTGGTTGATAACCTTGCCCTGGCACTTTCTTTCTTGTACTAAAGGACGGGGATCCACTTCGCTGACAAATCGGACTTGCCAGCAACTTTGTGCCCTCGCCCTTGCAAGTGACTCGAAGTTCCATGTGAGGTGGATTCCCTCTGAGCGCAATTGTGCTGATCGTCCCTCTCGAGAACCCTGGCTCAAAAGATCCGCTTCGGCGCGCGAGGATGGTCCCCGTTCCCATGTGCTGAATGGTGTGGTTCACTCGGACGCTTCGCCCTACGGCCACTTCGCCGCCTCAGGCGACGAGCTGCAAGCGCCCTCGTGTCACGGCACCCAGTGCAGCAGCCACAGAGCAGACCCTCCTGGGCGCGCCTTCACTGCTGGAACTCAACAAAGTGCGAAGGTTGGCAACGCAGGAGCGCTACCACACCACCGTAGAGACCTTCCTGTTTTGGTGTCGGGGCCACTTCAGCATGACCCAAAGCTTCGACTACCTCCTCACGGCTTACCTGAACGAGTTGTACGCCCAAGGCGAGGATGTGTCCGCCGCGGAGTACGCTTTCGCCGCCTTTCGGTACCGGTTTCCGGACTACGGGAAGCACGGCTCAAAGATGCTCCCTCGGGCCATACAAGCTCTAGAGGGTTACAGGAACTTGGCTCCCCCACAGATGAGACTGCCAACTCCACGTGTTGCGTTCACCGCAATCCTGGGTTGCCTCCTCGTGCGCTGCAAGCCGGACATGGCCCTGGGTCTCCTTCTTCAGTGGGATCTTCTTCTACGCCCGGGGGAGCTCACCAGTCTACGTCCTCACCAGGTGGTGCCGCCTGCTCCGCTGGCAGCTCTACCAAAATGGGGTGTCGTGCTGGCACCTTCGGAAAGCGGATCCCGCGACCCCAGCAAGACAAACGTGTTCGACGAGAGCATCCTCCTCAGCGACCGTGTGCAGTTCCTTCTCCCGGCCTTGGCTGCTCTAGTCGAACGCCACCGCCGCCAGCAAGCCCTCTTCGGGTTCACCTGTGCTCAGCTCAACGCAGAGTTCAAGAGCGCAGCCGCAGCTTTGAAGTTGGACGAGCTGGGCGCTACCCTTTACGGCAATCGGCACGGGGGTGCAAGCGAGCTTCGCTTGCGCGGCACCCCGCTCAAAGAGATCAAAGCTCGCGGCAGGTGGGTCGCCGACTCCAGTGTGAAGCGCTACGAGAAAGCTACTGTGGCACAGCTCCAGGTGCACAAGGTGCTGCCAACTATACAACTTTACGGCAACTTCGTGGAACACCAGCTGCTCAAGTGCTCTGCCCTCCTGAAGGACGCCGTGGCGACTCAAAACCCGGCAGCTGTGAATCTGCTGCGCCAGCTCTTCCTGCCGCTGCCGAGCGTGTGAAGCTTGCTGAGCAGACCCGCAAACACTTGCGTAACAAACTTCAGAGTGCGAGGAAGCTCGCGCGGCAGTACAAATCGCAAGTCTTTCTCGAGCTGTTTTCTGGTTCAGGTGAAGTCTCACGACAGCTCCGCCTCCAAGGCTTTGCTGTCGCTTCGTTGGACACGTGCAACAACGAGCTGGAAAATCTGTGCAGTGAGGTCGTGCAACAAGTTCTCTGCGGTTGGATCGCCAGTGGTTTAGTCCTCGGTGTGTGGCTAGGTACGCCATGCACTTCTTGGTCCATGGCGCACACTACTCCTGTTGTGCGTACCAAGAAGTACGTTCTTGGTGTGCCTGGACTCACTGGCAAACACAAGCAAGCTGTTCTGTTGGGCAACGCCACTGCCGCTGCCTCCGCTCGGATAATCACTGCATGCCTTCACTCGCGTGTACCAGCCTTTCTCGAGAATCCTTCCACCAGCAAGCTGTTTTTGGCTCCGTGCATTCAGTCTCTGCGCCGGCACCCTGAGTGCTCAGAGTTCACGTCTGACTTCTGCCAATACGGTGCCTCGTGGAAGAAAGCCACCAAGGTTTGCGCCTGGCTCAGCGTCTCTGAAGCCCCTTCAAAACGTTGCTGTGGGTCAGGCAAGCTGTGCAGCCGCACTGAGCGCCCCCATGTGCCCCTGTGTGGCAGGAGCCCTCATGGCATCAGCTGGACTAAGGTTGCTGAAAAATACCCTGCACCGTGGGCCAGGGCCTGGGCATCCGTTATTGCCGACAGCGCTCTGAACAACATTGCGTGTCGCTTGGCCGCCATTTCTAACGTTGTGTAACTCTGTTTGTTTCTTCCCTACCAGTGCGTCTTTTTGACAGTGTAACCTGGGATATCTCTTACACCTACAGCTGTGGTGCTCGAAGAGCCAGCAGCTGTGTTCACTCGCTTCAGAGCTTCGGGACGGCCGCTGCTTTGTCTCTCATAAAAGAGGCGAATCTGGCATTGCTGTGATCATTGTACTGCTTTGCAGGTGATTGATCAAAGAGATTGCCGCCTGTAATTCCTCTCAAGTCTTTTGCGGCAGGGAAGGTAGCTGGTCCCCATGGTCCTCCAGCCCTTGAATCCTGCAGGTTGGGTTTTCGCGAGCTGCCTGGTATTCCAGAACTGGCTTTTCTCTGAACGTCGTGTGGTTGTGCCCACTGCCGATCAGCATTGCCACTGTGCTTGCGAGTGTACCACTTATCAATCCAGTCGCCGCTGGGTTGTTCTGTGGTTCTTGGCCGGGATCCTTACAGGGCTGGCTCTGTACCATGGCTACTTATATAGATCATTCCGTGGTCCCCGCCTTCAGTCTCGAAGGCAGATATGTGATGATCCTTTACCCACAGGAACGGAAATGGCACGAAAGGCTGGTGGTGCTGAGGTCGGTTCCGAGCTCCGATCAGAGAACCCTTGGATGGTGCGTCACCGCCACTCCGGACGG